TATATATATATATATATAAAGAATAATTAAATTTGAAGAAAAAATAAATAAAAGATAATATAAATATAATACCAACATCATATACCACATCGACTTATTACGGAAATCTAAACAATTATCATGGTCAAAAATAAAATAGCGGCGACAGACCATGATTTGAAATAACGGTTGTCGCAAAGCATAATTTGAACATTTTTAATGATATGCATTCATTTGAATATTTTCATTGTGTAACATTTTATCTGAGTATGGTGAATGTACTTTTATCGTCACTATTTCATTATATAAACTAGTGGTGAACTAAAACTTAACTGCAAACCGAAAAAATTGCATGAACCAAAACCAACAAATTGAAACCGAAATTAAAATCCACCGGTGCGGTTTTTAGTTTTGCAAAAACCGTAAATATATGTGAGTATTTGATTTCAAAACTCGTTGTGTATTATATAGTGTGTGTTAAAAAAAATGTTTGTTGTTTATATAAATAATTAAAACCCAAACCAATAAATAAGTTACATATGTTTCATGTTGGCAAAAAAAAGTTTATCGATCTTCAAATTTCAAACTATAAGGAAAAGTTGTTTTCCATGGATCATTTGTGTAAAAAGGCCAAAAATGCAAAAAAAAAAAACCGCAAAACAAAAAACAAGTCGCACAATTTCTAAACTTCATAAACTGAATTTGCGGGTTTTGGTTCGAGTTCGACTAAAAACCAAAGCGAACTGCAACTTGCTCCCTCAAGAGTTGTTTTAAATTGCGGTTCGTGACCGTTAGAATTTTTATTTATTTATTTATTTATAGTATAATATTTATTATATCAAATAAAAATCCTTAACCGATTTCGGTAATGTTATGTTTATAAGGTGTTGGTATCATATATTTTTATGATTTTTATTTAATTTTTGCTTTAAATATTTAAATATTTTTGTTATTTAAATATAATTTATTTAATAATATATAAATAAAATCATAATTAAAATAAAACAAAAAAGTAATAGTATAAACCAAAATTAAAACGAGGATAAAATCATAATTAATGTTGAAATGAAGTTAAGGGACAAGAGGATTTTATTCACGGATTTTAGAAGGGCATAAAAGGGAAAATACAAATTTGTTAAGTGGATGGATTAAAATATACAGTGGAAATATCATTTCCCATATATTAAATTGTTAATTACAGGTCAAAAAAAAATCTATGTTGTTTACTATTTTATAAGGGTAAATAAGGAATTGAACTAACGAATGATGAAGAACCTTATAAATCATAATTTGTTTGTATCTGTATTGACCTCAATTTATTTGGTAGGTGTCGGCGTCTAAATATTATACTATTCGTTTTCTGCCTCTTTTGATAGCTCTCCTCAGTTATCTTCTCTTATCTTCGCTCTCTCCTTTGATCTCATGCACACACGCTAATTGGGTTTCCGGACACCAACTTCAGTTTAATTCTCGCTAAAATCAGGCACTGATCTCTCCTTCACCCATAAAGACTTGTTTTCCCACCTCCACCAAGTAAATGCCTAAACATTACATAATTTTGATAGAACAATGGCGCAAGCCACAGATGTTGCAATCCATGACGACAAAAGTTATATTGTTTTCCTTTAGGAGACCTTCTCGCTTATTCCCAACCTCCTCAAAATGTCCTCTTGTAGTGACGAAAAATTGATTTTAATATATCAAATGTATAACATGTGTATTTGTTGTTTGGAAACCATTTGAGGATAAAGTATTTAAGTTACAGGGGGCTTACACATGTTGGAAAAAATATGAAGAGGCCTAACCATTAAAAGAAAACAACCCTTTTGTTATGAGTTAAAAACTTGCAAGATATGATGACAAAATGACCCTTTTGTTATGCGATTTTTTTTTTGGAGTTTCAAAGATTGTCCATGAATGATGAAATGATACAGGTGCGATGTCATTTGTAGAATCCATCTCATTGATATCTTGGCGAACGTTAATTGATTTTAGAAGAACGTTTCTTATATATGTCTGTGTATTCTGTTTGCAGTTTGGCCGCAAGATATGCGACTTAGTTTTTCACAGTTGGATGATCCACAAGAAGCAAATATTGTTTTTAACCAACAATCTATCCGTGCAGGCTGGCACCTGAGTCTGTTGCTCATTTTGAATATTTAATAACAATTGTTTTTGAAGGCCTTCCATGTGTGACCACCATATGTATCAGCATTCTTAGAGATGATTTTCCTAACTTGTTGCCCAAACAATGTTGTGTGTGGGTAATGCTATCACGTTTGATATCAAAGCGTGCAATGCTTGTCCGTCTTTTACCTTTGATCAAGCCATAAATAGTAAAAAAACATGTTTATAATTGTTTTTATGATGTGCATTTGCACTAGCCACTAAGTTAATGTTCTTTTTTTTTGTAATTTAATATGCTTATAAAGACAAGTTAGATGATGACCAAGGTTATCGATAGCGATAGCGAGGAAATAGCGACAACCCACCTATATGCTACGTAGCGATAGCGATGAAATAGCAACAGTTATTTCATGTTTTGTGATTTCTTATAAAATTAAACAATATATTTACCTGCACCTATTCAACGATTAAAAATAACACATAGAACTAACAAGTACCATTTCTATTAAGCTAACATTAAGTTCCAAAAGATTTTTACCACAAAAGATTGGTTAGTATTAGACTCTAAAGTCTAAAATTAAGTTCTAATACCACAAAAGAATGGTTATTTTTAGACTCTAAAGTCTAAAACTATGTTTCAATACCACAAAAGAGAGTGTTATGACTCTAAAAGTATAAACTCTAAAATACCACTAATCCACTAATCGTTATCCTCATCCTCCTCAAATACGAGTTCATCTTCCCCCTCTATTTCAACAAACTCCTTATAAACCCCAACATCATTTTCCTCTTCAGGTTCATCTACGAAATGGGGTTGTCTAGCTCTAGCTCTACCTTGTGAGCTCGACCCAGCAACCCCAACAGCCCCCTGCATCCCCCCTTGCCTCCCACCTAGTGTTGTTCTTCTAGTTAGATGAACCGGCTCATCCACCCCCATAGCCTCTGCCACAACATCACATCTCAAGTCATCACCCTCAAACACAAGACCATCATCATCACTCGCCAACCATTCGAACGGGTCATGTATGTGAGAGTCTTCCAAGATGATCGGGTCGATCATATCCCGCATATCATACCTCCTCCTTAATGCTCTATTATATTTGATGTAAACTAAATCATTTAGTTTTTGTCTTTCAAGACGGTTTCTTTTTTTCGAATGGATCTACAAAAATAAAATTAAACATTAGTAAATAGTGCAAAGGATATTAATCTTAAAAAAATGAACAACTTACATGTTCAAAAACAGTCCAATTACGCTCACACCCTGATGAACTACAAGTAAGACTCAACACCTTCACAGCAAACTTCTTAAGTGTTGGTGCTGATGATCCATATTGCATCCACCATTTCGCTGGTGCAAGTGTTGTTCTTAATTTAACAGTCATATGCTGCACAAATAACTCTTCTGCACCAGTATATATAGAGAGCTCTTGGTGAATCTTGGTCTCGTCTTCTTATGATGACATCTTATGTATGCATGCCATCAAGCCCTTAATCACCTCACTATCTTCTTTCACTCCTGGGTTGTTGTAAAAAATACTTGGATTCAGATAGTGACCAGCCGCATGCAAATCTTGGTGAAGTTGACAATTCCACCTATCATCAATGATTTTGAAGAAAGGTTTGTATTTGTTAAATTTGTTGTTGAATGAGTATGCAATCTGCTCCTTTGCCCTATCCATTGCTTCATAAATGTACCCCATAGCCGGCTTTCTTTCACTATCTACCAATCGAAGCACCGCTAGTAATGGTTCACCAACTTTGACAGCAATGTCAATGTTAATCCAAAAACTAGATGAAAAAATAGTTGTGACACATTGAGTTCCTCCCTCCTCCCCTTTGAACCTGCTTTTGTTCCAAGCTTCAGACGTGAACAACTTCTTCAAACTTGTCTTATGACTCCTAAAGCAATTCAGAGTTAAGAGGGCGGTTGCAAACCGGGTCTTTGCGGGCCTAATCATATCTCTTTGACCCGTAAAGTCTCTCAACATATTCAATAGCAATGTACGGTTGTAAATGTAAGTGTTAACCGCAATTGCTTTATCTAGTGTCTTCTTAAGATGAGTCACTGTGAAGATGTCTTCAAGCATGAGGTCAATGCAATGCGCAGCACACGGAGTCCAATAGATGTGTGGATATTTTGCTTCAATTCTCTCCTGTTCAAACAACAAAAAAAATAGCCAATAACAGTCAATACAAGAGTGAATGACAGTCAAAAATAGTAAAGAACATAATCAGCCAATGCTAGAACATAACAGTCAATAGCAATTTAATCTTTCAGCCAATAATAATAAAGTACATAGAACAATGAATATAAACATAAGTAAAGTACATAAGTAAAAAACAAGAAGAATGAATACCTGTATGAGAATAAGAAGATGCATCTACAGATTCTAGAAACATACTTCCTCGTGGAGTATTCACTAAGAAGTTGATAAGTGCTCTTCCTTTCCGGTCCCTCCAACCATCAGCCATCAAAGAACACCCGATTGCCTTCTTCTCGGTCTCATTAAGTATCAAAAGTTTCTTTGTGTGCTCCTTCTCTAGCTTCAACAGGGGAACACGTACCTCATGGTAGCTAGGGCGTTTCATACCGGGACCATGTATAGCAATGGCTTCAAGTGCGGGCCCTAAACTATCATACTTCACCGCGTTGAATGCAAGACCTGCATCATACATCCAACGGGCGAACTTCTGAACCGCGTCACGTCTTAGTTTTTTGTGAAGTTGGTTATGTTCGGGGGTTCCCACCAAGTACCCCTTCTTCTTCCCTGTTTCATTGGATGGCCTGAAATGAGTATCCAAAGCGCCTTTTACTTTCTTGTTGTGTAGGGTTGACTTGGAAGACAATTTAGCCCTCTTGCCTAACGAGAAAGGAACCTCACCAACTTCTTCTTCATCTTCATCATTTATATCCACCACATCATCATCAAAGTGAGGAATGTGATTCCTTTCAACTTTATCTTGTTTCTGTTTCTCAAAAATGTCTTTAAAAAGTTTCCTAACATCTAGTGGAGCTCTAAGACATTTGCAAACTGAAGTGGAATCACCAGCAAGGTGATGTTAATGTCTTGTAATCCCACCTTTGGCAACATTTGGACAATAATTGCACAACACCCAGTTTGTAGTTCCTTCAACTTTTTTGCCATGTTTCCAGCCAATATCATCCTCTTTTACACCAGGAGGCATGCCTGAATTGATCAGAATATAGAAGCCAATATCATAAGAATCACATAATCAAAGATCATACAGGAGCATTAGAAGATTCTCAGAATTTAGAAGAAAGAAAGAAGCCAAAGATTACCTTTTTTGAAGTTGAATTCTCGCAGGATCGATCAGAAGACAGAAGATATAAAATTTAAAAGCTGAAATTAGAAAAATCAGTTAAAGCTGAAACCGAGAAGTTAGAAAAAAACAGAGCAATTTAAAAGTCTTACCTTTTTGGAGTTGAACAATCGAGATGGATTCTGGAGTAGTTGGAGTCGTCTGGGGAGAAGGGGAGATGTGTTGTTGTCGCTACTGTTGCAGGAGTGGGAAATAACCCGCCAAAACCAATTTTGGTGAATTTGGCGCCATACGTACAATCTTAGTCGATTAGAGGGGAAAACACCAAATTGACACTACAATACCTAGCCTAACCCTATTCCGAGCCTAATTGCTACTTCTCTTACCGATTTAAATAAAAAAAAAACCAATTTTACTGTATCGCTACAGTGCTATTTCATCGCTACAGGTATGGTAGCGAGCCATCACAGCTACGCTACGCTATTCGGTATAGCGAGGGTAGCGATCGCTATTAACAACCCTGATGATGACATTTCTACCGACTTATTTAACACAAAGCTTTGTCGGGAAATGGGCATAACATTATAGATGATGTTGCACCCTTATTAAAAAATATTCAACAGGATCACTTTGTAATGGAATTTATATAACTTAAGTCGGAAGATAAGGAGTCAGTGTGGCATGCAATAATGAAAATAATGGATAACTTGCTTGTTTTTTTTTTCTTTTTAAGGTGAAGATGTTAAAAAGAGAAATATACTCTTGTGTTGAGTTATTACTTATTACATATTCTAATATTTATTTTTGATTTCAATAGGTCGATTGAAGAAGTATAGTTTGGTTCTTGGAAGCATTTGCTTTTTGGAGAATGCCAATAAAACAAGAACCTCAAGCTTCTATTAAAAAGTGGAAGAAAAGATGTTATATTGGTCTAAAAAGTCAAGATGTCTTATCTCAACCCACAATGAATCGGTAGATAGAGAACTTGTTATAGGGAAGGTTGTAAAGTCATTTTTTAGATGGCCATGTTCTCTATCTATCGGTCGACTTTACTGTCAGTTGAGATAAGACGACATCTTGACTTTAAGACCGATATAACATCTTTTATTCAATTTTTTAATATAAGCTCGAGGTTCTTGTTTTCTTAGCATTCTCTAAGAAGCAAAAGCTTCCAAGAACCGAACCATACTTTTTTAATCGACCTACGGAAAGGAGAAATAATGATTAGAGTATGTAATATGTAATAACTCAACACAAGAGTATATTTCTCTTTTTAACATCTTCACCTAAAAAAAGCAAGTTATCCATTATTTTCATCATTGCATGCCACACTGTCTCCTTATCTTCGGACTTAAGTTTTATAAATTCCATTACAAAGTGATCCTGTTGAATATTTTTTAATAAGGGTGCAACATCATCTATAATGTTATGCCCATTTCCCGACAAAGCTTTGTGTTAAATAAGTCGGTAGAAATGTCATCATTTAACTTGTCTTTATAAGCATATTGAATTACAAAAAAAAAAAGAACATTAACTTAGTGGCTAGTGCAAATGCACATCATAAAAACAATTATAAACATGTTTTTTTACCATTTATAGCTTGATCAAAGGTAAAAGGCCCACAAGCCATGCACGCTTTGATATCAAATGTGATACAATTACCCATACACAACATTGTTTGGGCAGCAAGTTAGGAAAATCATCTCTAAGAATGCTGATACATATGGTGGTCACACATGGAAGGCCTTCAAAAAAAATTGTTAATAAATATTCAAAATGACCAACAGACTCAGGTGCCAGCCTGCAAGGATAGATTGTTGATTAAAAACAATATTTGCTTCTTGTGGATCATCCAACTGTGAAAAACTAAGTCGGATATCTTGCGGCCAAACTGCAAACAGAATACACAGACATATATAAGAAACGTTCCTATAAAATCAATTAACGTTCGCCAAGATATCAATGAGATGGATTCTACAAATGACATCGCACCTGTATCATTTCATCATTCAT